AGAATCAAAATCTTTCAGGATGAGTCCTTAGCTATTAGGATACAAACAATAACTTCCTAGTTCAATTCCTTTGATGTAAGAAATCAATAGAATCAATAAATATTTTTAATCCTACTATGTTAGTGGATATTAGAAAAAGAACATGGATGCAGCTATTGGGAAATTATGAAAATTTTAAAAGTGTCATCTTGTATCCTTGTGTGTGTCAGTAGGCTAAAGTTTTGCATGCATTTGGGTGGACCTCTTGTCCACTTTTACATATGTCATTCTACTATGCAGGTTTACCTTTGGAATATGTCTTATGCAGGTTCATATCTCAACATCAAGTCTGCAACTGAGCATGTCCTTGTACTAGTTTCACTCACCAGCATCTCTTTAAGGGAAGAGAACAGCCTATGGCAACAGTCTAAGCTTAAAAGAAAACATGTATCAACTATTAATAAAATAAATATAATTCATTATCCCTAAAACACTACAAACTGAAAAGAAGGAGTATAAATAACAATGTACACTTGACTAAAGATACATGCATCGATTATAACAACATCTCCAGCAATTAGAGAAATGCGAATCAAAACTACTTTAAGATTTTATCTCACTCCTGTCAGAATGGCAATCATCAAGAAAACAGGCAACAATAAATGTTGGCAAGGATTTGGTGGAAAAGATACACTCATACATTGTTGGTGGAACTGCAAGATTCCTCAAAAAATCGGGAATAGAACCACCATATGACTCAGGTATTCCAATTCTTGGTTTATACCTAAAGGACTTAAAATCAGCATACTATAGTAACACAGCTACATCAATGTTTATAGCAGCTCAATTCACAACAGTTAAATTATGTAACCAACCTAGGTGTCCCTCAATAGATGAATGGATAAAGAAAATGTGGTATATATAGTCCATGGAATATTACTCAGCTTTAAAGAAGAGAAAAATTATGGCATTTGCCAGAAAACGGTTGGAGTTGGAGAATATCATGCTAAGCGCAATAAGCCAATCCAACAAAACCAAAGGCTGAATTTTTTTTCTCTAATATGCAAATGCTAATTCACAATAAGGTGGGGGTACTAGGGAAGAATAGCATTACCTTAATTAGGTAGAGGGAAGTGAAGGGAGGGGAGGGGAGAGGATATAGGGATAGGAACAATAGTAGAATGAAACAGACATTTTTACTGTATGTGTATATGTGACTGCATGACCAATATGATTGTGAAACATGTACATTCAGAAAAATGAGAAATTAAACCCCACCTATGATATATCAAAGTGAATAAACACATTCTACTGTCATGTATAACTAATTAAAACAAATTTAAGATTTTAAAATAAATAAATAAATAGCCAAAAAAAATTTCAGGACATAATTTAATAAGGAATGAAAATGAAAGTGGTGTGAATAAACAGATGGAAGAAGAGATAAGGGGAAAAATGCAATAAAATGAGAAAAGGAAAGATTGAAAATGATAATAAAAATGAAATCCAGGGACCAAATACAGGGAGAAATAAAATTATTTCATAAAATTAAATGCAGCATAAAAAAATAAATGATGTAGATACATCATACAAATACAAGACAAAAAATAAAAATTAAATTAAAAAATACAATGTGAAAACTCCAAAAGCTTCACATGTCCCTTACAGTAATGTTATTGAGACAGAAACAATTCTGTCCAGGATTTCTAATTTTAGAAACATATAGCCTTGGAGAGTTTCCCAGAAGCAAACATAATCTAGCTGTTTCCATATGTGCTCCAGCCCAAACTGGCCTATCTGGCTAGTGCAGTGTGCAAGCTGAGCTCCTCTGGTCCTTGCTCTTTGGCCACACCCAGAAAAGCTGAGAGACCTTTGAAGTTGCACAGCAAAACTCACTCTCAGTACTTGTTTCGTACTTTTATATGTAGGTCTATCAAATGTAGAAACTGCCTGACACGTCCTCTGGTTCACGGAGGCTGGAGACAAGTGTAATTCAAAGATATCTTCTGGATTTCTGCAGTCAGAGATCTTGGAGGGTGCAATACTCCAAGTCTGTAAGGGTTTTCATTGCATGCTCTGGGAGCATGGCAGATATG